TGAAACGCATGGCTTGATACCTCCAGTTCCGAGAGCTATAAGAGCCAGTGCAATAAAGAGGAAACCTGCTTGGTTGTCGGTTGCTTTTATGCAGGGCCTGACCATGCATTTTGGCGGTCGCAGGCTGTCAATGGAGGCTGATAGAGCCAGCAAAACCATTCCCTGAGGGGGGAAAAATGGACGTGAGCCTTTATGTTACATGGTCCAACTCTGAGCAGATCCAAGATGGGCCAACCAGAGCAGATTCAGTTGTAGCCATATGAAAATACCAATGGAAATTCTAACTTACAACTGCATATATGCAAGAAAAGACGATGATGGTCAAGAATCGACCCAGATAAGCATCGGCAAGAAATGCTCCGAGTAGAGTTAGAACATAAGCAGCTCCGATCCAATCAGTCACATGAGTTGCAGCAGATGGAAGCGATTGGTGCATTTCGAAAACCAAATAAGCCACCATGTTCACTGCTATTGCAAAGAAGGCCAATCTCTCGGCAACCTCATTAACTTGAATTCAAAGAAACAAAAAACAAAAACAAACCCTTAAATCAGTGACCAGTACCATGCTAGTCAACAAAAAACTGCCATAGGAGCGAGTTTTAGTCAGTACATATGATAAATGGAGATGCCTTCCATCCTCCAGTGGTTTGCTTATCCGCAATTTTTCCTCTAATATCCACGCATCCATTGCTAACCAACATGGTTGCTGGTTCATTTCCCTCCTGCAAAACATTAACCAAAATGAATATATCTATGTGTGGCATTCACACACACTTCTGTGTAACAATACATTAATATTACCTTCTGCTTTAGCTCCTCAACAAAATTTTCCATGGATGGCTGTATAAAGGACTTCTCAAATGGGGTGCCACCAGGTTCCATTATTTCCGATGTTGAAACTCTTGGTTCGGTTCCGGTTTCTGGTGGGAGTTTTCTAAATGAGTTGTTATATAAATAAGAGATCAATTTACCTACCAAAAAATAAAAACCTTAAACATCTGTGTATTACTTGTCATGTAGTTTGACCGGCTTGCTTTGACGTTTACTGGGTTTGTGCTTGAAGCTATGGGGTAGATGATGGTTTCTAGCCGGCAATAGGGATAATTGGTCTTTTTTATTTGTAGAAAGCCTGCAACTTCCAAATGGAGTTGTACTGGAGAGCCACAGGCTGAATTAATGCTTAGATGCTGGCTATGATTTTGTTGTTTATTTGATCAAATCTGGTAATGAATGAGTCATTCGAAACGGCTGCCTTTCCTTTTCTGTTGATAAAGGGTAATACGCAAAGTGGAGAAGAGAAAAGTCTCAATCGTATATCAATAGTATATTAATAGGTGAGAGTACATCTTGTTTTATACAAAAATTTATGAATAAGTTTTCTATTAGAAATAAACTACCTAGTAGTTATCTTTATCTATCTAATTTTCCAAGAGTTAATATTATATTAAACTACTAACTAGAATATAGGATGGACTTATCGCATAACCTACACTCTCCCTCAAGTTAGGGAGTAAATGTTGAAAAGACTTAACTTGAATGTAATCTCATAAAAGGTAAATCTTGGTAGTGTCTTGGTGAGAATATCCGTTAACTGATTCTTCATTGAAACATAGTTGAGCTTTACCTATCCACCATTCACCTTTTAAGAGATGAAATGTTGATCTCCACAAGTTTCGTTCGGTCATGATGAACTGGATTCTTTGCAATACTTGTTGCAGATTTACTGTCACTATGAAATTCAAAACACTTGTTGGCACACAACTCCAACTCAGTTAATAGTCTTTGTAACCAAATTCCTTCGCAAATTCCTAGTGTCATTGCTCTAAACTTTTCTTATGCACTACTTCGAGATACCACAGCTTGTCCTGGTTGTAGATCTCCTATCCGTTAATTCACCTGTCCTGCTTGAATCTGAGAAAATTCTTACTGTTTTATCATCACTCTTTCTGAATATTAACACATGTCCTGGTATCATCTTCAAGTATCTTAGAATTCTATTCACAACCTCTAAATGTTCTTCATCAGATTATTTATATATTGGCTCACTATACTAACAGGGAACGCAATATCAAGTCTAGTAAGTGGTAAATAAATTAATTTACCTACTAGCCTTTGATATTGTTCTTGTTCACGAGATTTCCCAATTCTTCTCTCCTTATCTTAAGATTTACTTCCATGGGAGTTTCTGTCGGCTTGCATCCCTTTATTCCAGTTTCTAATAGTAGATCAAAGATATATTTCCTTTGATTGATCACTATTTCTTCTTTCGACCTTGCAACCTCCATGCCTAAAAAATATCATAAAGTACCCAACTCTTTGGTTTCAAATTCCTTTGCCAGTAGCTTTTTCAGTATTTCTATCTCCATACAATCATCACCTGTTAGAATGATATCATCCACATAGAAAATCAAAATTGCATTTTTTTGTTTGAAACTGCTTTGACAAATAAAGTGTGAACTGATTAACATTGCTTGTAACCATCCTGAATAATCACCTTTGTAAATCTGTCTAACCAGACTCTTGGAGATTGCTTAAGTCCATACAAAGACTTTAGTAATCTACATGTTTTTCATGTATTACTCTACACACCCAGTGGAATTAGCATATATACTTCCTTCTCCAATTTTTCGTTTAGAAATGCATTTTTTATGTCCAACTGATGAAGCACCCAGTTCTCATTGACCACCATTGACAATAACACACTCACAATGTTTAGTTTTTCTATCGGAGCAAACATTTCTTGATAATCAACTCCATGACAGGGTTGTCGAAGTCCTAGAAAAAAATTGATTTTTACTAAACTAACTTGTAGTAATAGTGAGATCAAGTCGAATCCTAAGAGAGCTGAAATTAGAATCTTAATGTTTAAGCAATAAAAGTAAATTGGGGGTTTTGGTTTATTGAACTAAAATCAAGAAACAAAATCAATTCTTACTGAACTTCCAATTCAAAGGTGTGTACTTCATCCGAATGTAATTTTGATCATAGGCTAAAAGATCAATTTTTAACATCCAAATAATTAGTCACTTTCTCGGAACCGTAACATATATGGTTCCCCTTTTATAATTGATAAGCCCACTCATTTGCATCAAGCATTCAAATCAAATCTTACCATTAATGATATCAGTAAGAATTATGGAAACGACTAAACAAAAATCAATTAATTTCGTACCTTTATTTCCCTGAAGACTATCATACGCGATCCGAAGCTCAAAAAATAAACTGTAATAAACATAAATCATAAGACTTACCCTTACCTACTTATGTCAATCGTTCATGACCATTACGTATCACAAACTTATGAATAGTAATAGAAAACTCAATATCGAATTAAGGCGTTAATTTAATCAATATCAAGAATTCATAAAAATAAGAACAAGAAATAAAGATTACTTGGATTAAAGGAGAAAAACTAGTTTAGCACAAGCCTCACAAAATTACAACAAAATTGTTTCACCCTTGAATCAGAAATAAAAGCTTAGTCACTCATGGTGGAATGTAAATAAGAGAGAGAAAAAGTTGTTCTGTCAAAAGATGATATCCTAAAAGATGGCTAAGAGGCTCTTTATATAGAGAGCCAAAACCTTAAAATAAAATAAATGAGTATAATTCAAATAAGGAAAATTAGAATAAAGGAAAATGAAAATAAATAAAGTCCTAAATGAAAAGAGATTGATTCTTGGTCATATACTTTCAAAATAATGGAAACATCCATAAAGGTGAGCTTTATCCTAAATTTGACTCCAAAAGTTCAGATTCTTCTTATGAGAAAGTGGTCGAGTATCAATCATAAGGCGTGATAATGCCTTGTCGGAGATGGTCTTCTGCTTAGTTCCACATTCTTCCAAAAGACTTGATTTTCACATAAAAGGCTAAAAACATGTTTTTAAGCTGATTTTCACCATTCCATCCATATTTCACCTCCTAAATCAAAACAAACATAATTTCCACAATTAAGCTCAACTTCTAACAAGAATATGAAGGAATTAGTCATAAAAAGATGTATATAATTATAACATATCACTCCAAAAGATTGAGTAAATCATTTCGCCACTAATCTCGCCCTGTATCTTTCAATGCTACTATCAACTTTGTATTTCACCATGAATACACATTTGCAGCCGAATGGTTTCTTATCTTTCAGAAGATCAACTATAATCCAAGTATTGTTATTTTCCAATGCCTTCAATTCCTCTTCTACTACCTTTTTCCACTTAGGATCTTTCAATGCTTCTTCAATCATATCTGGAACAGTAATGCTATCTATACTGGCTGTAAAGTTCTTAAAACAAGGCATTAGCTTTCCATATGAAACAAATCTATCAATTGGATTATTTTTGCATTTTCTTACTCATTTAGTTTGAACAATCGACAAATCATTATCATCAATTAAAGCATTTAATTTATTAGAACAACCCTGATTACCTACTTCATTCTCCAAAAGATTCTCGTTTGGTTTTGGTTCATGACAATGTCCATACTGTGTGGGAGACTCGGGATTAGGTTCAGGGATTGATTTGGAAATTGGTCTTTGTCATCTCTTGTAAATAAACAATTTGGATTGAGGTATTTGAGCTGAACTGATATGTTGGTCATGTTGAGGTAAGTATGTTTCGGTGGGCTGGTTTGGCAAAGATAAATTTTCTGGGTTCAGAAGTGTTGTTTGGTCTGACTAGAGCGATTTTGTAGACTGGTTTAACTGGTTCGGCTGGTTTAACTGGTTCGACAATGTTGTTTGGTCCAATTGGAGTGATTTTGTGGGTTGGTTCGACTTGTTTGACCTGTTAGGGAGTGCTGGTCGGTAAAAGGAGCTGACTACAAATCAAGTGATAATTGTTGTGAGTCAACAAACTGATATTCATTATATGATTCCCCTTGAATAGAAGTTTTAAAGGAAAAAAGGTTTTTTTTTCAAAGAAAGTAACATTTATGGTAACAAAAAATTCCTTAGTACGAGGATAATAACATCTAAAGCCCTTTTGATTCGAAGAATAACCCAAAAACACACATCGAAATGCTCGAGGGTCTAATTTGAATCATTTTTATGAACGAACACAATACATCCAAAATCTATAAGGGGTGATAGTGAAGTCATTGGCTTAAAATTGGGGAAAAAACTGAAGAAAACCATCTCTTGGACACTTAAATTGTAACGGTTTACTAGGGAGATGGTTAATCAAATAAGTGGAAGTTAAAAAGGTTTTCCCCAAAAATAGTGAGAAACATTTGTGGAAAAAAGAAGAGACAGGTAACCTCGAGAAGATGCATATTTTTTCCTCAGCAATCCCATTTTGTTGAGGAGAATTGACACACAAAGTAAGATGAATAATCTTGTTTCCCTGAAAGAAAGAACCCAAAACATTGACAAAACAATCACTACCATTGTCAGAATGAAACATTTGGATAGAACACTGAAATTGGGTTTTAACCATTTTATGAAACCGTTTAAATATTTCAGAAGCTTTAGATTTAGTTTTTATTAGAAAGGTTTAGGTAGTAAGAGTGTGATAATCAATAAATAAAATAAACCACTGAAACCCATGTAAAGATGCGACTCGGGATGGTCCCCAAATATCAATATGGATCATAATAAATAGTTTATAAGGTCTATACGGATAAGGTAGATAAACACTCTTACTTTATTTAGCAAGTGGACAAATATCACAAGAAAAAGATTTAGGTCTTTTATTGATAAACAAATATGGAAACAACTTTGCAAGATAAAAGAAACTAGAATATCTTAAACGAAAGTGCAATAACATAACATCAGTTGAAGGTTTAAGGATGTATAACATTGAAGAAAGTAGGTGGTTGGGAAAATAAGGTTGTTGAAAGCATGTAAACCCCCCCCACAAAGTCTAGTACTACCAATCACTTTCTCTAAACTCAAATC